CCTTCCTTCCTTCCTTCCTTCCTTCCTTCCTTCCTTCCTTCCTTCCTACATTTAACGTTTATTCAGTGTTGTGGACCGATCTCCGGATCTAACTCCGAACACTCATCACCCTGAAAGGAGAAGACTCTGAACTCATTAAATAATATCTCCCCCAGCCCCCGGCAAACACTGCCTTGCTTTCTATCTTCCTCTCCTTGCCCCACCATTCCCCCTCCTGTGGCCTTCCACGCCCGCCTCCTCTCACTTGGCATAAGGTTTTGGTTTTCAGAGCTTGCCTGTGTCACAGCATGAGTCAGTGCTCCGCGCCTTTTTATAGCTGAGTGAGTGTCCATGGCAAAGGCTGACAATGTTGGTTGTTTCGCGTGTCTGCCCTAGGGCTTTTAAAAGGTACTTGTACTCTTCACTGGGCTGGAACTCTGGGTCCCCTGGAGCAGGCCACACCCTTGGGCTCCAGAGAGTAGCTGTTCCCAGGCACACAGCTACACTTAGTGGGGAACACAGACTCGAGTTAGGTATCGCAGAAGCAGCAGTGAAATTTCAGCCCTGACAGTGCCAGAGAAGGTCTCTTCCTGGCCAGGCTCCGTCCAATGGAGTTTCAAGGGCAGGGGAAAAATCACTCTGTGGTCACAGTTTTTCCACTTGTGAAAAGTAGCTTGGACTAGACTTTGGCATGTGTAATATTTAAATGATAAAATTGAATGAAAAATCCAGTTCCTCACTCGGAAGTAAAAAAAACATGGCTGTGGCAGTTCCTCAACAGTAAAATGACAGCTGCTGTGTGTGCCGGCAGCTCATTTCCGGGCATGTCCCAAAGACTCCAAGCAGGTCCCCAAGCTGTTGGCCCATCTCTGCGACGGCCAAATGGATAAATGTGATACAGCGTGTGCATTCCAAGCGTGTTGCTCGGCCTCACAGAGGGAATTTCAACACATTTGCCACAGCAGGGATGAACCGTGAGGGCATGACGTGACAGCCCCACACAGCACATGCTCTGTGACTCACTTTACACTCCATCCCTGGAATCGGCCAGTTCCGAGAGGAAGACAGGAGGGGGGTGGGGTTTCCCAGGCTGGGAAGGAACTGGGCTGGTGGTTCATGGGAATGGAGTCGTATTATTTCCGTCGAAGAGTTCTGGAGGCGGATTGCACAACGATCAGTGTTTTCCACACAACTGAACTGTGCATGCAGTGACGGTTAGAATGGTCTGTTGTACCACCATTCTGAATGGCATATGTGGTCTGTGGTCTAGGCCGTGTCCACCAGCCCAGGTGGGGAAGAGCGGGGCTCTACCATTCCTCCCTGCTGGCTGCAGCACCTGGGCGCCTGGCAAGGCCCCTCCCTGGTGGCTTCCCACAGAGGGCAAGGGTTCACTTTATCCATGTCTGTGAGTGAGGGTCCCCGCTCTTCTGGTGCGCTCCTGAAGGCGGACTCTAGAGCTCACCACCTGGCCAGGGAAGGAGGAAGAAGCAGGCTTCCCCAGGAGGGGCTCATGGCTGCAGACACTTCCGCACATGACCCAGAAGGAAGGGGCTCCTCTGTTTGTCACCCCCCCACCGCCTCTTACATAGGGAATTGAACTTAGGACCTTGCGTTTGCCAGGTAGGGAAGCTGTGCTGCTGAGCTATATCCCCAGCCCCTCCTCTGTGTTTTTAATATTATTTCTCAAGCAGGGGCCCCCAGCGGGCAGGAAGTTTGGTTTGGTTTTAGTTTCTGCATTGAGCATTGGTGCCTGTGGCGGGCCCCAGCCGGAGCCCGGAAGACCCTGGCTCTTCCCAGCCAACTGTGGTGGTGAGAGTTCAGGGGGCAGCCCTCTCTGCTTGCCCAGGGAAGGGGGGGGGCTCGCAGAGGGAAGCACTAGGGGGGGAGCGGCTCCTCCACAAGGACAAATGGAAGCAATTTTCAGTCACGTGGCCAAGAGCTTACTGTAGCTGAGAGGCAGGCCCCATGCTGTCTGTCTCCAGGAAGCGCCCAAGCCACAGGTTCTGGGGCAGATGCAGCACAGGGGTCTTTGTTTATCTGAAGTGTGAGGAGGAGCTTGGAGGATGTTGCTGAGCAGGACAGAAGTCCTGTTCTGAAGGCTTGCAGGACTGGCCTAGATGGGGGCAGGCGGGTGGGCAGGTGGGTGGGCAGGCAGATGGGCGGGCAGGCAGGCAGGCGGGTGGGTTGCCTCATTTCTGATACAGGCATGGGGGTGAGGATGGAACCTATGCATCCCTCGACCATCCCTGGGCTTGTTACAGGCATGCTGTTGGCTCCCTGAAGTAAGAGATTTTGGTGCCCTGGAGAGGCGGAGAGGGAGGGGAACAGCTGAGGAGAGCCCCTTGGAATGAAGAGCGCCCACCACAGCCCGGAACTGACTCTGAGTCGGCTCTGACCCTCCATCTGTCCCCTTGCACAGCTTGAGGAGGGCCCAGAGAGGAGCTGCTGGCCCGCCAGCTTCAGCTCCTGCTGGCCACTCCAGTGAGTAGAACAAAGAACGACAGAAATGCCAGGGGACATGGGGGATCAGCCCAGTGGGTCAAGTGGTGGCGTCAGGCGCTAAGCCCGCCTTCCACTGCTCCGCAGGCGTGTTTAGGGTGTGAGGAGCCCAGAGCCCAGCGCTGCTCTCTTAGAAGGCAGCTAATTGTCCTAATTCTGGTAGGATCTGCTCAGCTCTGCTAACTGTCTTGGGGGAAGAAGATGAATCGTCCGTCTCCCCTGCTGTTCCAGGCAGCAGCCACCTCCTCCCTCACCAGGGGCTGGTGGGATTGGCCAAGGGGTGAGGAGGCTGGGTCAGGCTCTGAGTAGTCTTCCGTTGAGCCCAGGGTGCTCCTGGGAGCAGGCAGATAACAAAAGCTACACCTGCTGGAGGAGGACGGGAAGGCGCAGACAGGGCAGCTCAGGCAGTGAGGTGGAAGATGTGACCCCCTCTGCAGTAGGGCAGCTGGGCACCCCCCACCTGCGGGCATTCAGGTGGGGCAGCCAGGGCTGTGGAGTATGCACTGCGCCCAGCCACTGGTGGGACCCTGTGGCCATTCAGACCCTTCGTGGCCCTGGAGCTGGGTGTGTGCAGCCTTCGGCAGCTGGGTGGAAGCTCGAGTTATTTCCAGTTCAGTCTCACGGCCTGCAGCCCTGAGGATACTTGTGGGCTTTGTCTCTAATAGGAGGAACACTTGGGAATAGAGGTCACCTATATGGTCAAAAGGGCCATTTCAGGGCTCACCCCAGGAAGTGGGGTGCCTAGAAGTGGACACCTCCATGAGGACAGGATGCGTGAAGTAGTCTGACCCCTCCTTCAGAAGGTGGAGACTGTCCCTCCTTCTAGACCATGAGGGACCCCGGAGCTCTTTGACAAAGCAGGCTCTGCAGCGTCTCTGAGCCTAGGGGCTGAGAGTGGGCATGCAGAGGCCCGGGGAGATGAGGCCAAGTGTACTCAGGGGACGGGATATTCACTGAGAGCCGGGTTGAGTGTTGGAGCAAAAGGGTAGCTTCAGGACAGTGGCCTGTTGGATGTTGCCAGGGTGAGTGACTTCCATCCGGGGCCTTGTGCAGGGATCTTGTGGCAAACTGCTAACCTGTGCCTCAGTTTCCCTGAGAACAGTTCTGATGATTGGACCCTCTCTTACCCAGATGCCTCTGCTCTTTCTCCGCAGCCACAGAGGCAGCTCCTGGCTGTGTGGGTGACATGGCCGACACCCCAAGAGACGCCATGCTGAAGCCGGCGCCCGCGTCGCGGAATGAGAAGGCCCCCGCGGACTTTGGCTATGTGGGGATCGACTCCATCCTGGAGCAGATGCGCAGGAAGGCCATGAAGCAGGGATTCGAGTTCAACATCATGGTGGTCGGTGAGTCCCTGCTGCAGTCCTGTGCGGCGTAGCGGTCTTGGCCAGCCACGAGGGCCCGTGGTGAAAGCTCCTGGGCTCAGTTTTCCCTTGTGTGCTGTAAGTGATGGCCAGGCCTGAAGGACAAATTGCAAGTGACAAGTGTACAAGGGGGATTGTGTGTATGTGGGGGGACACTGCAGCTCCCATGAGTCCCTGAGAGAACTATGCACTGTGATCTTCACTGTCACATGGAAGCGCAGGAAGTCACCAGGGGAGGTCACTCATCAGCGTTCCCGCAGGCTGCTGGCAGGGCCCATTTGCAGCAGGTAGCACTGTCTCAAGCCCCTCAGGCCCTGTGCTGTCCTCATGGTGACCCTTGTGAAGGGACCCTGTTTCTCAGTGGAAAGCAGGCCGCTGATTTCAGACTTGAAACAGGGCAGGGCCTTCTGCCTCCTACACAGGACCATGGCGTCTGGGCAAACGCCCCACAGGCTCAAGCCCTAAACGCAGGCCTGTCTGGTGGGGGCACCCAGCACAGGGTATCTGAGGACCCCCAGTTTGAGCACTGTCCTCCTGTCCTCTCTGCTGTCACTTTAGCCCAGCTGCTCTGAGCTCCCAGTATCTTGCTCCGTGTCCCCCCCCCCTCGCCCCCACTGCCCCATCATGCTTCAGGGCAGAGGCCTGAGGTCCCTTTGGGACTCCCGCTGTTTCATCCTTAGGTGTAGACTGGGGACCCCTCTGCCCTGGCTGGATGCTGGAGAGAGATGGGGGAGGCACCAGGCAGTGACCAGAGCGGCCCTGCCTCCTGCCCTCAATATGCCCCCCTGGGAAGAGCCTGGGCTCCCCTGGTCTTGTCTGTGATGCAGGCCTCCTTCAGAGCTGTGGCTGAGGGGAGCAGGAGGGGTGACCTCACTGCCGTCACCATGGTTGTCCAGCCTTGAGCTCCAGGAGGGCGCCCAAAGGGCTGCCTCCCTTCCTGGCCCTCTCCAGTTTCCAGCCCTGAGAACTCCAGGGCCCAGCTGTCACTCGTGGGCTCCCTCCTGGGATCCTTTGTGAGGAACAAGATGATCCTGTAAAAACCAGAAGCCCTTGGCAGGGAATCTATGAGACAGAAAGGAGGGAGGCGGGTGTGTGGGCTCCACGGACCCAAGGGAGAAGCCCTGTTTTCTCCCTGTGAGGCTTGTCCACGTTCCCTTCCTTGGGCCTCGGTTTCCTCACCTAGGAAAGGGTATAATTACCTCTAGGGGGCCAGGAAGGTCTCGAGCACGGAAGGCCACAGTCTTGAAGCGTAGGCGCACCTGAGAAGTGGGAACAGCATCTGTGTTGGTGGTGGCAGCGGTAGCAGTAATAAAATGGTGAGGTTAAAATTTATAGTTGGCGTCTCCTGGATCCAAGGCAGCCGACAGCTCAGGCCGGATCAAGACCAGAAGGGTAGCGGGGTGGTAGCAAGGACTGCCGGTCCTGGGGCTGCTACACTCAGGCTGGGATTCCGATTCTGCCCTTCTGGGTGCCCCCCAGCTTTCAGTGAAAGGTATCATCAGGTGACCTAGGGCTGTCAGCACCGCCCAAGGGGTTCAGAGTGGCAGTAAAGCAACAGAGCTGAGTCGGGAGTTGAGTGTGTGTGTGTGGATTGTGTTGTCAGTGTGCACACTGAGTCCCACCCCTGTTCTGACTTGGTAACGGGGTGACTCATTGTGACACTGCCTGTGTATGAGCCGCCTGATGCTCACAGCAGCCCCAGCAGAGGAGACATGGGCGCAGTTCATCCCATTGTACAGATATGGAAATTGAGGCACCCCGAGGCATCCCGAATCAGAGCTGCCAGGAAGCCTCCTTCCTGGGTGGATGGTCACTGCTTGGGAAGGGATTCTTGACCAGACACTAGAGCCCAGTGTCCCTGAACACCCACCGCCTGTCCCCTCCCAAGAGCTGGCCGACCTCCCTCCTGTGTCTCCCCAGGGCAGAGTGGCTTGGGGAAGTCCACCTTAATCAACACCCTCTTCAAGTCCAAAATCAGCCGGAAGTCGGTGCAGCCCACCTCAGAAGAACGCATCCCCAAGACCATTGAGATCAAGTCCATAACCCACGGTCAGTGCTGTGGTGGTCACAGAGGGGCGGGGGGGAGGGATGTCCAATCGGAGCATGGAGTTCAGGGTGCCCAGGTTCCCTGGGGGACTCGCTGAGCCCCCTAGGAATGTAGCGTCTGGGTAGGACTGGCCTGTACACCCAGGGCCTGGGGAGATCTTGGGTTTAGTTACCAAAAATTTGTGGGCAGGGGACTCTGGGGAGAGGGCCTGCTGGGCTTTGTTGCCAGAGGCTGCTGTCTTCCTGGTCCCAGCACCTCTGGGGCCCCGGTCACCCTCTGACCTGGGACTCTGGTTCCCTCAGATATTGAGGAAAAGGGCGTCCGGATGAAGCTGACTGTGATCGACACACCTGGGTTCGGAGACCACATCAACAACGAGAACTGGTAAGGGGCTCACGGGGGCTCTGCATGGGGGAGGGGCACTCCCTGGGCAGCCAGGCTGCCTGGGCCCCACTACCCCAGTGTGGAAGAGCTTGTTCTGAAAATTGTGGACCAAGGAGGGGCTGCCGTGGGCTCACTCTTCCTCATCCTCCTGAGGTCAAGGGTCAGCGTGGGATGCTGGGCCAGGAGTCCTAAGATGAGCTGGTGCTATCTGCCCAAAGCCTAATAGCCCCCTATGTGATCACAAGGTTGACTGGAACAGGAGTGCTGGGCTGGGGAACTTCCCGGGCCACACAGGGACACACCCTGCCCCTCCTGGCCTTGACCTGGCTTCCCATGCAGCTGGCAGCCCATCATGAAGTTCATCAATGACCAGTACGAGAAGTACCTGCAGGAGGAGGTGAACATCAACCGCAAGAAACGCATCCCCGACACGCGTGTCCACTGCTGCCTCTACTTCATCCCTGCCACCGGCCACTCGTACGTGCCCACCACGCCCCCACCTGGTGCGGTGCCCTGGGCCTGCTGCCCTCCGGGCTTCCTGACGGTGCTGCTGCTGCTGCTGCCTGTGGGTCACACGTGTTGTTGGGAGCCCACCCCAGCCCTGCCAGCACAAGTCCCCATGGAGGGCAGCAAGCCTCAGCTTGGGGGCCTGCAGTAAACTCACATCTGCCTCTCGTGTCCCCTGTGGGCCAGCGAGAGTCCTTCAGGGCAGAACCCTGCTTGCCCAGCGGGGACTGGAGCAGGCTGTGCTCACAGGGACCGTGAAGGAGGCCCGCCCAGCTAAGCTCCTCTCCTCCCTGCGAGCCAGGGCCCCACAGCACAACTGAGAAGCCTCTCTTTGGACCCGTGTCCTGGGCCCCTCTGGAAGTTCCTGGATAATGAGGGGCTTAGAGCGGGCCTGTTCCTCCCTGCCACCCTCCACTTACCACTTGGCTGGTCCTGCAGTGCCCTTGCCTTTGCCCCAAGCTGGCATCCAGAGCCCCATCTCTAGCCCTATCGGCAGGGACACTCCCCAGTCCTATCCACCCAAAGCTGAGTCTCGCTTGCTTGCGTCCATTTCAGCCTTCGGCCCCTGGACATCGAGTTCATGAAGCGCCTGAGCAAGGTGGTCAACATCGTCCCTGTCATTGCCAAGGCCGACACGCTGACGCTGGAGGAGAGAGTCTACTTCAAACAGCGGGTACGACACTGGCCTCCTGGGCCTCGGGGCTGCTTGGACAAGCTGCAGGCCTGGGAGAGCCCACCCAGTCCAGGGCACCACTTGCATGGACTGAGCCACTGGCACTGCCCATGCACATGGCTGCCCTGGGGGGAGTCCTGGCCTGGGTGCTTACTGGGGCCTTCCTGAGGTGGCCCAACCAGCTCCCCATCTCTCAGTAGCAGCTCCCCACGATAGACCCCTTCTCCAGCCAAGTGTGAATAAGGCCCGAGAAAGACGCAGATTCAGGAGCAACCTGTGACCCTCGCTCCCAGAAAGGGGGAGCGTCATAAAAACATGCCTTGCTTTTATCAGATAGAAGAGAGAGCCCAGAAGGGGCAGTCTCTTCTGGGGACAGGTGGCCACCATTTCTCTGCCACAATATAGTAGGGCGCTTTGGGTGGATAGGACTTAGTTTAGTATAGTAAACTAAGCCACCTCTTCCTAGCAGAGCTGCACCCCAGTCGAATCCCACAAGTCTTGAGGGCCTCCATTCCAGGTGGTGTAGAAGATTTTCCCAGCATGCTTAGGGAGGGATAGCCCACCACACAGGGATGTGTGCTAGAGGGAAGGGGACAGGTGGCCCGGAAGTTGTGTGTGGGCTTGGGTCTTTCTGTGACGGCAACTGTGACGACTGTTCCTTGGGGTATCCTCAGTTCATTCATGGTTACCTCATTTGTTTTGCTGTCGGAACGGGGCTGGTTTAATGCAGACAGGTATACTCTGGTTTGCAGAGGGCCCCACCTGGGCTTGGGGGCCTGTGATGGGAGGGAAGGTTTCCGGAGTAGAGGACCCCACAGCCTGGGTTATTTTCATGGCATGTGAGGAAAGATGGAGAGACAGTAGATCCCAGACTTGGGGAGCCTCATCAGCTCAAAGCAGGCGTGCCTGCAACTGCCCCTCCTCCACTTGGGGGTGCCAGAGTTGCAGATTATTAGAATCACAGCTCCCCAGAACCTAACCCTGACCCTGGGCCCAGGGCAGCTAACCTCAGGAGGTCACAGCAGCGATGGTACCTGCATCTCCCCAGATCACTGCAGATCTGCTGTCCAATGGCATTGACGTGTACCCCCAGAAGGAGTTTGATGAGGACGCAGAAGACCGGCAGGTGAACGAGAAGTTCCGGGTGAGTGGGTCTCCTGAGGCTGCTTACCCCCCTCTTATACCCTCACACCCCCCCATGCCTGCAGTGCGTACAGAGGACAGGGTGCTCCTGCCCCATCCAGGGTAAACAGTGCTATGACTTTGAGCCACCTGGGCCTACTCCAGGCCCAGAGGGTTGGGAGCCCATGGCCACACGCAGCACCCTTACCCAGATTCCACTAGGGACCTGGCTCAGGGGAGGCAGCAGCCTTTCCGAGCATGCGTGACTGGTCCTACCACCCCTTCCCAGGAGATGATCCCCTTCGCTGTGGTGGGCAGCGACCATGAGTACCAGGTCAACGGCAAGCGGATCCTTGGCAGGAAGACCAAGTGGGGCACCATTGAAGGTACTCGCCCTGCTGACTCCTGGGGCTGGGACGAGAAATCCCCCGGTCTGTGGCCCCAGAGCATTCAGCCATTGGCTGAGCTTAGTCTGTTACCTGTGTGTCTGTTGTCCTGAGGGGATACCTGTCGTTGGGTGTGTGGCCACACAAATGCATGTCTTCAGATACTTTCCATATAAGGTCCCTGTTGCGGACCCCAAGGGTTGGGGCTTGGATGTCTTTTCTGGGGGGCAGGCTGGCCTGTTCAGGGGATGGGCCTGGGCATTTCTTTCCTTGCTGCTTCCTCCCTCCCTAGCAAGCATGAGGGAGAAGCACAGGGTGGACTGCATCCCAGTCGAATCCCACAACTCTCGAGGGCCTTCATCCCAGGTGGTATGGGAGATTTTCCCAGCATGCTTAGGGAAGAATAGCTGACCACACAGGGACATGTGCTGGAGGGAGGGGGACAGGTATCCCCGGAAGTTTTGTGTGTGCTTGGGTCTTCCTGGTGCAGCTGGGATGAAGCCGCTTTGTCTCTTGAGAATGGTGCGGGCTAAAGGGCCTGCAGAAAAGGCAGTCAGCTGTGCAAGTGTGGGAAATCCCCAGGCCTCCAGGGTCTCAGTTTCTACTACCCAAGGGGCCGGGGAGATGGCTCAGTAGAATCGCTCTTCCTTGGCAAGTACAAGGGCCTGAGTTCAATCCCCGGTTCCACCAAAAAAAAAAAAAAAAAAAAAAAATAATTTCCCTGGGAAGCTAAGCATAGTGATGCCCTACATGGATGGGTGAGGGGAAGGCGGTGAGGGCCCCAGAAATGGAGGAGCTCTGAATCCACAGGCCCAGCCCTGCAGCACACCCCAGGGGGTCGGCACTGAGGAAGCCCCGCCTACCATCCTCAGGGATTGGTGTTGGCAGATACCTTCAGAGCTGTTTTCTAGACCAGCTATCATCTGGGCGTTTTCCTAGTTCTGTGGTGCCCCCTCTGCAGAGGAGCTGACTGAAGGGGACAGTTTAGGGAAGTGTCTGAGTTGGCTGTTCCAGTTCAGAACCTTTTTACCAAAGGCCTGATTCGGGTTAGGGACCTAGGGCCCGACACTGGCATGTCTTTACTTCCCCCTGGTGGCCAAGTCCTGCCATCGCAGGCGGTTTGTATAGAAATTGTCAGGACATTAATGAGGCCAGATTGGGGCTTCTGGCTGGGGAGGTCAGTTACAAAGCAGCAGACCAGCCTTCTGCAGATCCTGGAGACCTCCCCAGAACACTATGAGGACCTTGTGAGTCGACAACTCACCGAGGAACCAGCCACTTGCTCACCCTGGGTCTTATGGTCCCTAGGCAGTTTTGCCTTGTCCTGTCCCCTTCTTGGTGTGCCCCACTTCGAGCAGCCCCCTGGAGTGCTGCAGAAGGAAGACGAGTCACCACGATTCACCCCATTTGTTCCCTTTGTGTGTCCCTGGGAGGTGGGTGACGCTGTTACCCATTTTACAGATGGAGAAATAGAGGTCAGAGACCAGAGTAACATACATCTGTGGCAGAGGCCATCATGTGGACCAACCCTTATGGGGTGGAATGTGGGCCTTTCACAGGGCAGCCCTGCCTTGCCCCTGCTTGGGAAAAGCCCTGTACGTGGGAGGGGGCAGGGTGGATGGAGGCCCTGGGTCCCACGGGGACCTCACAGGTGTGAGCACCGAGCTCCACTTTCTGTGCCTTCAAGAGAGTATTGGGTACCCAAAGGTGTGGGGAGTGGGCTGAGGGGACTTCCGGGGGTCTGGTGCCTGCTCCGCCTGGCCCTGCTCCTGATGCCACTGCCTGCCCCCAAGTGTGCGGTGGTGTCATAGTTACAGCACCTGGCCCACCACCCACCACCAGTGACACTCTGGAGTGTGGCCAGCCGAGGCCCTGCACACTGTCCCCAGCTGGCTTTCGCCTGGGTGGTCTCAAAGCCAGGTGATCTTAAGCCTCCTGCTGGCTCTTTCAAGGGTCACCACAATATGTGGTCTCCTGGTGTAGTGTGTATGTGCGTGCATGTGTGTATCCTGCCCGTGCTCTGGGAATGTGTGTGTGGGCAGGCATAATAAAACCCAGTAAAATCTGCTCCAACTCCATCGCCACCCCTCGCCTCCCAGCCCCCATCTGTCTTCAGGTCTGCCCTGCCCACTGGGGATGTCTCCCTGGTCACTCCAGGGAAGCAGGGCCCACCCCTCCTTACTGTGACACTTCTGCCTCGCCAAAATCTTGGCCTGGCAGCTGGGCCATCTGCCCACTGGTCCAGAACCTTCCAGAGAGTGGCTCAGTTTGTCCTTCCACTCCAGAGTCCCCGGCACCGAGAGCCTCCCAAGTGCCTGGGACTCAGGTGCAGAGCAGGCACCATCTGCCAATGGGGCCACTCTTGAAATAGTGGGGGTGAGGTGGGGGTGGGGCGCTCCCTGTGTGACACTGAAGCTCTCTGTCCCCTCTCCTCAGTCGAGAACACCACACACTGTGAGTTTGCCTACCTGCGGGACCTCCTCATCAGGTGAGCCTGTGGCCGGGGTGGGCAGACGGCAGCTGGCACTCCGCCTGCCCAGTGGCTCTGCCTCCAGAGCCCCCTTTGCTAAGAGATACTCTGGGAAATGAATGAAGCCAGGAGTGAACATCCTTTTGATGCCTATGAGGTCACAGGAACAGGAAGGGCTGTGTCCTGCTCCCCTGTGACCTGAGCCCAGATTGCACTGTGATTGCTGCGACCTGTGAGGTCTCACCGGTGGGCTCCGAGTGGAGGCTGGCACGTCCTCATTTCTGTTCCCAGCAGCCTCTGACCCCTGCCCTTGATCTTGGCTGAGGCTTCTCTATGGGCTGTATAGCCCAGCAGAAGCCCCCCTAGAGACAGGCCAGGTGAGGGGTCCCTGAGGAGCAGCTCTACTTGGGCAGGTGAAGAGGTGAGGGCCATGACCTGGGATCCTAGGCTCCTGTCTTCCCCCTCCAAAGGTGGCTGGGTGCTGGGAATAATGACCAGAGGGGCGGGGCCGTGTGGGGACAGCAGTGGGGCAGAAGTGACATCATCTTTTTGGGAAGCCCCACCCTTCCAGCCTGCTTTCCAGATTGGGCCCTTTCAGCTGGAGAGAAAGGCTAGGGGCTGGGATGTGGCCCTGCAGTGGAGCACTTACCCAGGTGCCCCAGGCCCTGGCTCCACCGCCCACACCACCACACAGCCAAAATAGTGAGCCATGGATGGGTAGAATGGACCTGGCCCTCTGCTCCAGGCCACCTGCCTTCTGTAGGCTACAGCCCTGGGGTCAGCAGTCGCCCCTTGGTTCTGCTGCCTGGTACCCTGGCCACCAGCCAGGTGCTTCTTTTTGGAGCAAGGACATTGTGGTCCTGTCCACTGCTAGAGGTCTCTGGGCCTCCCCGAACCCAGCCCTCTGTTGCTGAGCAGACTCTAGCTGGCTGTCACGTGGATAGGGACAGGGATGCACTGGAACATGTGTTCCCAGGGAGACGGGCCTCCGGACCCATGCCAGGCGTGGTCGCCATTGTGGTGGTGGTAGTGATGGTGGAAGGGACCCCATGGAGAGCATGGCAGTCAGGCTGGGGCAGGCTGACCTGCTGTCCCCACAGGACCCACATGCAGAACATCAAGGACATCACCAGCAGCATCCACTTCGAGGCGTACCGTGTGAAGCGGCTCAATGAAGGCAACAGTGCCATGGCCAATGGGGTTGAGGAGAAGGAGCCTGAAGCCCAGGAGATGTAGACGCTGCCATCCCCACCCTGGACCCTATCCCCAGTCTTCCCGTCACCCCAGGCCCGCCCACCTGCCCGCCCTTTCTTATTTTATATCATTTTGTCCATGTGTCATCATCATTCCCCACCCTTTCCGTGCTGCCAGGTGACAAGAGAAGGCGAAGTCTCCTGAGCGTGAATCGGTAGCTCCTGGCTGCCCATGGAGCGGGGCTCAGCCTGGGACCCTTCTGGCCTTTCTGAGTACCAGAAAGGCTGGATGTGCCCAGCAGGAGGACCCAGGGCCTGTTGGAGTCTGACCCGCCCCCAGTTGGCCCCCTCCTCCCCCCAGGACCCACAAAGCTGCCTGCCTGCCACCCTCTGGAGATACTAGATCTGGAGCCTCATCAGGGACCAGGTCCCTGGGTTTAGCGGTCCCCTCTTGGCCCTCAGTCCCCAAGGCCACAGTTCCTGGAGTGGGAGGATGGAGCCCCTCCTGCCCCCCTGTGGTGTGGGCCATGGACTCAGAGACCACCCCCCCACCCCCCCGCCACCTCAGGACTCCTCGCAGCGCGCATTGCCAGTTGATTAGACACACTGGGCCTGCAGCCACCCGCCTGGAGCCTACTCTGCAGCAGAAAGTGCCTTCATTCAGCCGTCCACAGGAGCCAGAGGACTCTCCTAGTTGTCCCCTTGGGCCAGAAACAGGGACCAAAGGGAGAGGGGGAGGTGTGACCTATCCCTCCACCCCCCCCCCATTGTACCCTCACACATGCGGGGAGGCTTTGGGAACCTCTGATCCAACAGAATCTGGTGAGAAGTGTGTCCCACCCCACCCCTGCACTGGGGAAGATCCAAGCAGAAGCAGCTGCGGAGGGTGCCGAGGCCCTGCCCCACCCTGATGTCTCGGAGGCCTGTCGGTCTGTCTGTCTTGACTTTGGTCTGGCTGCGAGGCTCTGGTTCTGTCATGACCCAGCAGCCCCAGCCCCAGATGCTCTGCTCCTGGCCCCAGGCTGGGCAGGAGGCTGGGAGAACGCACTGTCCTCCTGAGAGCCTGGCCCCTGCACCCTAAAACCCCATGTGTAGAGACCCCTGGAGAGAGATGAGAGGGTTGGGGGGGTGCACAGGACACATACAGGTGCAGAATGGGGCTCGCCCTCTGTCCCCAGGGGGCTACAGGAGCACCACAGCCACCCACGTGCTTCCTGATCCTGGGGGCCTCCGCAGGGGTGAGGCGAGGCCGCACAGGGGCGTACCCGCCTTGGAGTGTGGCTGCAGACCCCGAGCTGGCCTCAGGCAGCCGAGAAGTGCCGTGGAAGGCATGGGCTGTGCAGACTGGGGCGTGCAGCTCTGGGAGCGGACGTGTAAGCAGGTGATCGGGTCGCCCCTTCCTCCCCGAGGGGTGCAGACCCCTCAGCCCGACAACAGTTTACTTGCCAACTGCCGACTTGCCAAGTTTTTGCCAAAACCAAGACTGAAAGAAGATGTCCGGTGGCGGGGCCCAGGACATGGGGGTGGCCTCCCCTGGCCCTGGTGGCGCTCGGGGGTGGGGGATAGCAGCAGTGTCCCCAGGGATGGCTTCGCTTTCCTTCTGTAACCAGATTTTGAAAACTTGTTTCACTGGGCTCCGTTCCACAACGGCCTTTTGCTATGTGCCTCCTGAGAAATTCGTCTCTTTTTGTATAAATAACAAAGTGTTGAAATGTATTTCCTGAAATAAATGTTTCAAATGCAAACTCTGAGGCTCCAGAGGAGAGTGTTGTCCTGCGCCTGGGTTGTGGGTTTCCTCAAGGCCTCAGGACTGGCCTCAGGTGGCAGAGAAAAGAGGAGCAGGGATATGGGGAGGGGAGGTCAGGCCAGGCTGGAACCTGAACTTGGCCTCCTGGGATGAAGACAAAACTGGCTGTGGTGGGAGGCTGAGGCAGGAGGATCCCAAGTTCCACCTCTGCCTGGGCAACTTGGTGAGATTGTCTCAAAATAAATGGTTGAGAAGGTAGCTGTGTGTCTATCCATCTGCAGTAGTAGGGATTGAAGCCGGTCCTTTGCACTGACCTATATTCCAGGCTCTCCTCCCCTTTTTAAAAATGATATGGGGGGGCAGGGAGATGGCTCAGTAGAATAAGTGCTTGCCTGGCAAAGTGCAAGGGCCTGAGTTCAATCCCCGGTTCCGCAAAAAAAAAAAAAAAAGAAAAGAAAAAGAGAGAGACAGAAAGAAAAAAGAAATGATACAGGGTCTCATTCAATCACTAAATTGCCCAGATGGGGCATAAAATTGTGATCCTCCCGCCTCTGCCTCCCAGAGCGCTGGGATTGCAGGTGTGTATCATCTCACCTGAATTCCTTGAGCCTCATATTCAGAGGAGATCTCTTTATGTTTTTTTTTTAATTTTTATTTTTTCTTTTTTCTTTCTGTTTTTACATTCTACTTTCTGACCTCATATGTGAGGTGCGCGATGTGGGCAATGCTGAGAAATGGTGCCGCGAGGGTGAGCTATAGCCTCGCGCCAGCAGCCGCTCCGAGCTGGGAGGTAACAGCCTCGAGCAGCACTTTGAATCCCGCTCAGTCTGGTGTTGGGGCACAGATTTCTGGAGTGTGGGCCGCTGGGAAGCGTGGGAGCGGGGAGGCAGCAGCACTGGGAGGGTCAGGTCCAGGGCCCTGGCCAAGTGTGCGGCGGAGGGGCTCCAGGGTGCCCTGTGCCTGGGGGGCGCCCCTGCCCTCCTTGCCCCAGCAGGCGCAGGTAGCCACCCCTTTCTGCTGCAGCTGGGACCCCAGGTGGGGAACCAGCTTCACAGGAGAGCTGAACCCCTCCTCGATGCTCCTCCTGTGGAGAGAAGGACTTAGAGGCCCCATGGTGAGGAGGTGGGGATCCACGCTGGGCTGAGGCGCATTTCCTGTGCTGGAGCAGAAACGCTTTCCAGATGTTCCTACTGCCCCACAGCACCGCCAGGAGGGCCCCAAGGAGCAGACCCAGGCCTGCGGGGGCGCTGGCTCCGCGCCAGCCCACTACACGGTACCAGGTTACATCATTGTGAGCCGCCTAGACCTCAGGAGCATCCCAGAAAGACCGCAGTCAGCGCTGGTTCTGGTTCTTTTCATCTTCTGTACTGGAAATTGAACCTGGGGACCTTAATTAACACCGAGCTGTACCCCTGGCTCAGGTCCTTTTTATGTTGGTGCACTCTGGCACTAACTTGTGGGCTTCCTTCCTCAGCCTCCAGAACGCTGGGATTCCGGGCACGCCAGCATCAGAGCCCTTGATGCTGGGGCTGCAGAACCCCAGATGCTGTCCTCCCACCCCATGCTCCTGCTCCCCCTTTGGGCTGTGGCCTTTGGTGAAATGTGGGAAGGCAACTGCCCTGGTGATTCCCTGATAACACAAGCAGCGCCTGCCTGTGACAACGTGACTGGAAAGCAGAAGCCAGAACAGCAAACATGAACCCAGCGCTCCAGTCAGCCTTACGCATGCGCGGGCTTTACATTTTTTTTTCTAATGCGCTTGCAAAAGGTCCTTATATTTGCTTTCCCACGTTAAGCTCAGATTATGCGTATCATTTGGTAACCCACATGGATACTACTGTGGAAATTATTCCATGCATTGTTTTAAACAGAATTTTAGCAGCTGAACAAAAACATCTTATTTGCGACAATGAGGATTTGTAAGTTGTGCTTATGGCAGCCAGCCGCAATGGGAGCTTGTCGCTGATCCATTTGGTGGCTGGCTGCACCCTCCCTATACGTCTTACAGGGCGAATGACAGGGCGCCCCAGTTCCTTGCTGGGCAAAGCCAGGAGCGCGGAGCAGCGCGAATCTCCCAGGGGCTCGGCAGGGGACGCTCTAGAGCAGAGGACTGACGGCGCGGGCTGGTCCCCCTTGCTCCTTGGCTTTCCTGCCCTCCTTCCCTTGAGCCTGTGACCGCTGCTTCCTGCCTGTGAGGGGTCAAAGCCTCCTCCGGCTCAGCTCTGCACACTCACCTTCAGTCTTATACACACAAAGGGCCCGGAGTGCTGCGTGCTCAGAGAGAGACTCACTCCCAAGGCTCGGACTTTAAACCGCTCGTTCTGGTCACTGATCCCACGCAGATGCAACTGTGCAACTCTTGCCCTTGGGTCCGCATCAAGGTCACTGTCAGATCGCACACAGAGGAAGCTCCTAGGAGTCAGGGTGTGGGTGCGCTGGGGAAGGCTGAGGGCAGGTGCTGAGGGCCCTAGGGCACAGCTGAGGGCCACATCTAGGCCAAGGCGACACCGCCAAGGAGGTGGACCAAGCCTCAGCAGACAAGTAGGCTGATGGTCACTCAGGCATCACTGGACACGGGGAGCGGGGAAGGAGGGAGCCCATGGCTGGGCTCTCCGGGCTGAGTTTCCAGCCTCTTTCTGCTATGCATCCACAGCACTGGCCATTCCTCTGGGCTGGGTGGACCTGGGGGTGTGGGGTGCAGAATCTCTGGTCTCACCCAGAGCCTGGCACCCTGTGATTCCACTGGGCCTCATGAAAGTTGCAGCTGAATGAACACTGAGAACCCAGCGGAGAAAGTGTCTTCCTCCCCATTCGCAGAGGATGGTTATAAATAATCAGCAGCAAACAGGAGCATAAATAATTAAACCCGCCTGGAGTGAGTGGCTCTTGAACCGTCTGCCTGATTTAAAAACTAATTACTTGGAGAGTCCTAGCTGCCGGGGAGCTGCCTCCTCCTCCTCCTCCCTCTTTCCTACACGGCTCTGCCCTGTTTCCTGGGGTGCCAGGGGCATTGGCGTCAGCTCATCAGCCAGTCCTGGCACGTAGAGAGCTGCGGGGGTGCGGGGGGGGGGGCTCTTCTATCTCCCTGATTAAAAGCCGGGGCCCAGGAGGAAGCAAAAGTCCCTGAAGGGCACCAAGACGGGTGCTTCCAGTTCTGCCTCACTTCTGCAGCTGCAGGCTCCCGTCCTAGCTGGGAGTGCCTAGGACTTCCTGTCCTCAGGGCTCTCTTGGCTGGAGGGGGAAAGCAGAGCTTGGGGCAGCAGAGGGACAGGAAGTGGTCTGTATCTTTTGCAGAGCTAGGGATTGGACACAGGGTCCTGCATACATATGCAAGGGAAGTGTATTTCCCAGCTATCCTAGCTTCTCCGTTTGGTTATTTTTATAGTTTCCATTCATTTTTTGAAACTCCTAACTTCACAGTGCTACCTTTTCCTACCTTTCCCTTCATTAGATTTTTTTTTTTTTTTTTGAGACATAGTGTCACTAGTTTCCGCTGGCGTCAAACTCATAGCAGTCCTCCTGCCTCAGCCTCCTGAGTGCTGGGATTACAGGCATGAGCCACATTGCCCAACTAGATAGCGTCTTAGTTTTACTCAGTGTAAAGACCTTGTCTGATCATTCCATCTGTGGGTCTGCTCAATAAAAGCAGCAATTGTTCTGATTATGGGCAACACTTTCTGCCTTCTTTGAATGACCTGTGGGCATTTCTGGGGACAGAGGGTGGAACACTGCTGTGTGGAGCTGGGGCGACAGGGCCAAGCTCAGGTGAGCACAGAAGCAGATGTTTCTGATCGGGATGGCATCCGGGCAGAGACGGCGCTTGCTGCAGGTAAGCCCTGTGCGTCTGGCTTTAGCAGGCCCCATGGAAGGGAGGGAAATGAAGAAGGGACACCATTCCCTGCAGGAACCTAATGACCTCGGAGAAAACAGTCAGAGGCAGAGGGCAGTACATGCCTGTAATCCCAACCCAGAAGGAGGCTGGAGCAGGAGGATTGGAAGTTTTAGCCCAGCCTGAGCAAAGTGGTGAGGCCCTGTCTCAAAATACAAATGAAAACAGACTGAAGCTGCAGTTCAGTGTGAGGCCCTGGGTTCAGTCTCTGTGCTGGGGTGGGGTTAGGGAGATCTCAGGACTTCAGTGGCCTATAGGG